AAATTATAATTATCAATGCTTTTATTATTAATGATATTAACATCATTATTACTATCTATATTATAAATCTGCTTGTGTTTCGTCCGCTCGTTATCACTTTCCTCCTCAATCATCATTTGAGTGAGAGACAAGTTACACACTGCATTGAAGTAGTTAGATCGTCGGTTTATGCACGGTTATCATGTTTATGCTTATATTTAGAATGAATCTCTACGTTCAGTGCTTGAATATCAATGTAGGCAGTAGAAAATAAATGAAAATGAAAAAAAAGTGTTACTTTGAGTTGATAGGTATCGTGTTCAACTCAAAAAATACACGAATAAATAAATGATGATAACAAATATAATGATAATGTAAATGCATGGCTAGTTGCCTAGATGAAAGGAGATTGGGTTTTGGTGGTGATTCAAGGTAGATGAGTAGATGTATGGACAAACTAGGAGGCTTTGGGTATCATGAATGGTTGCTTGGGGGAGATTAAAGCTATTGTGGGTATATTGTGAGTATGTGTTAGGTAGATTAGTTTAGATCCATGGGAGGATGTTAGATAAGTAGAATGATTGTACCAGAAATTACTGAATTTTTTTTTTTTTTTTTGTGGTCTAGGTTATTCATCATCTAGGACAGTGGTTCTTAACCTTTTAACTACCACGCCCCCTTTTAGGAATTTGCCCATCCCTCCACGCCTCTCTTGTATTGTAGATATATTTTTTTATTAGCATGAATTGGTATAATCCAACTTTCTGTTATGTGACCATGCTCTCGTTAAAGGTATAGCAAAGAGAATTAGAGAAATCACTGCCTTTTTTCCAATGACTTCGCGCCCCTCTTTGGAAAATACTGAAGCCCCCCCCCCCCCCCTAGAGAGGCGCGTCCCCAGGTTAAGAACCACTGGTCTAGGAAACAATTGATTTGATTAAGATGTTGATTCGTGGAAGATAAAGAGATCTTATGGTTGACAAGAGTAGATATGTAATAAGGAGTAGGAATTTTGATGAGGGAGATTATGAGAGCAAACCGAAAACAAAGATCGAATGAACCTGATAGCTAATTGTAAATTTCTGGGTAGAGGTAAGTAGATTTTTAAAAATATTGACAGAGGAGTGTTGTTTCGAACTAATGGTAGATTTCTGGTTCTCACAATTCAGATAACTTTGGCTTTACTTTTGCCCGTGTGATTATTTTAGAAGACTGATGATTATAATCAAAATAATAATTATTATCATTACCATATATCTGAATAATCCAATAAGCCTTTTCATTTCTCATCGTACCTCCATTTAGTGCAAATATAATCATTCACTATCTCTGATTTTTCTTCATATACATTCTCCGTCCATCATATCTTCATTAGTTAGCTTGTTCACAGGTACATATGTTTAACTTTTCTGTTGATTGTTGTTCACAACATAAATTAGTTTGCTTGAATTGTTCTATATTTTTTTTGTTAACTTTTAAGCTGTGGGTCTTTTTTCTACTTTGAATATATATATACATATTTAATATATATATATATATAAATCAGGTTTATATATATATATATTATATATATATATATATATATATATATATATATATATATATACTATATATATATATATATAACACACGCATACACATATATACACAACATACACATATGTATATGTATTATAGAGATGTATAAATGTATAAATATATATACTTATGTGTGCGCCTTTATACATATACATATATATTTATATATACAAATGCATATATGTATGTCTATATATATTTATGTATATGCATGCAGACCCCCCCCCCACACACACACACACACGCACATATGCACACGCGTTCGCACGCACACACATACATATATAAATATATATATATATAATGCTAACAACATCCAACGAACAGTCATATGCATTTACATATATCAATCTATCTGTCTATAAATGTACATATATCAACAGGTAGATTGATAGATGTAATTACATATGACTATTCGCTTAATTACGCTTGTGTTGTTAACACATTATGTACGTTCCTAATTCTCTCTTTCTCTATTGAACTGCACATATCAGCATTATTATTATTATTATAGTTATTTCTTGTTTTAATATCATAAGCATGTAATAATGATCATAGCGATAATATCCCCTCAGCAGGGATTTCTTGAGCACATTCATACAAAATACATTTTCCAGTGACGAAAAAAGGGACTAAAAAAACGCACGTTGTACTTTTATTCTACTTTTAATGTCACAGGATATCCCATACATATGCGTAATATTAGTGACAAGGCCAGCAATTATGATCTCAAAAAGGAGACTCAATAGGGTTTATTTTCCTATACTCAACATAGTGAAAATGAACCATAATGAAAAAACTACACAAGACTCAAAATAGCTAAACAAGTCACTTTATAGGTGTCAGCAGAGTTCATAAATTCCTAGACTTCTAGTATTTTTTTAATCATTTTTTAAATAATTTTTTTGACTAGAGGTAACGGGACATGGAGCGAGAAGCATAAGCAATAAACTACATGACCTTTAATAAGGACGACATCGGCGATTATAACTCCATTGACAAAGTCAAACAGGGTTCAATCCCATCTTGTTATCATCAGAGAAGGTGAACACTGGCGAGATTTATTTTTTCTCTCATTCATTTTCGTAGTTATCATTCGCAAATCCCGCCATTGTAATATACTGTAAATATCTTCCCTTTTTATATTTTCATCATCTTTTATAATTCAAACACACGACAAAGTGCACAGGCTGGATATAACATGATGAGTCCATGAAATCAGGTTTATGTAAGAGCTGTGCTGAAGACCCTGAATCGTCAGCGTGTTTAAAAAGTCAGTGGCCAAAATACCAAGTGATGCAAAAAATGAAACGAGTGCCTCCACAGCGACGAAAAAGGACATGGTCGGAATATTTCGCATTCTGGGGTCTTCAGGGAGCTCTTGATTTCGTGGTTAAAAAGAAAATTGAAAAAAAAAAAATCTCTTCTCTATATGAACTGCACATATCAGCATTATTATTATTATTATAGTTATTTCTTGTTTTAATATCATAAGCATGTAATAATGATCATAGCGATAATATCCCCTCAGCAGGGATTTCTTGAGCACATTTCATACAAAATACATTTTCCAGTGACGAAAAAAGGGACTAAAAAAACGCACGTTGTACTTTTATTCTACTTTTAATGTCACAGGATATCCCATACATATGCGTAATATTAGTGACAAGGCCAGCAATTATGATCTCAAAAAGGAGACTCAATAGGGTTTATTTTCCTATACTCAACATAGTGAAAATGAACCATAATGAAAAAACTACACAAGACTCAAAATAGCTAAACAAGTCACTTTATAGGTGTCAGCAGAGTTCATAAATTCCTAGACTTCTAGTATTTTTTTAATCATTTTTTAAATAATTTTTTTGACTAGAGGTAACGGGACATGGAGCGAGAAGCATAAGCAATAAACTACATGACCTTTAATAAGGACGACATCGGCGATTATAACTCCATTGACAAAGTCAAACAGGGTTCAATCCCATCTTGTTATCATCAGAGAAGGTGAACACTGGCGAGATTTATTTTTTCTCTCATTCATTTTCGTAGTTATCATTCGCAAATCCCGCCATTGTAATATACTGTAAATATCTTCCCTTTTTATATTTTCATCATCTTTTATAATTCAAACACACGACAAAGTGCACAGGCTGGATATAACATGATGAGTCCATGAAATCAGGTTTATGTAAGAGCTGTGCTGAAGACCCTGAATCGTCAGCGTGTTTAAAAAGTCAGTGGCCAAAATACCAAGTGATGCAAAAAATGAAACGAGTGCCTCCACAGCGACGAAAAAGGACATGGTCGGAATATTTCGCATTCTGGGGTCTTCAGGGAGCTCTTGATTTCGTGGTTAAAAAAGAAAATTGAAAAAAAAAAAAATCGAAAAGTAGGGTAAAACAACCTAAACTGCCATGATGCAAGAGCAATGGTTGTGACAGAAATGCCTAAAAGCCACTGTACAGTTTAGTTATTCTTGTTTAATATCCTCTTTCGCTTGTTTATATATTTATATATTTTTTTATTATTTTCTGTAGCGCCGCCACCACTCTATTAGCTTATAAATATGATTATCATATCACATGTCATTCAACCTTTAAAAAGAATAAATTTCAGAGTGTCAGGCACTCATGAACTTCTATAGGGCACAGTGTTGGAGAATAAATAAATAAAAAATTCCAGTTGCACTAACCTTTTCACTCACAGACATTTTCTCTGAAAAATCACTTTCACTTAGTTAAAACTTTAAAGTTTTTCATCCAAGTCTTCCTGTACATAAAGGAAAGGGGATACAATATTTTGGGTTTAATTTTTTTATTCTTAAGGTGGCAACTCAACCTGATAAAGAACCATCAAGGTCCTAAATTTTGCAATAAATAAGCTAAGGGGCATGAAGCTCTGGTTTTGCCAATAAGCACCTAAAGCCATCACATGAAACATATGAACCTTACAACTCTTCTGGTCACACAGTTCCAGGCCCCACAGGACACTTTCTCACACGTCCTGGTCAGGCGAGTGACCCCCAGAGAACAGTCCCTGTGTTAATTTGATGGTAAGTGGTTCTCTCTTCAATGCTCGTGGATAACACAGGAACTGAACCTCTGGCGAGAAACTCCAATGGCAAGACTTCGGTGAGATTTTTAATCACAGTAATCTAACTTGGCCTGTGGTGCATGGATGTAGGCCTCTTCATACCCTGGTGAAGAGGACGTGATAGGCGTGTACTATGTCTCTGAAGACACCACCACGGAACGTTGTCGTTTATCTTAGAAATCTGTCTTAAATAGATATCACTCCTCACGAATAGGCATTACTGGCAGTTGACCATGACTATTTGGTCATTAGAAGGAGCTTCCACGCAGGAAAGCAGTATCCAAGCCCTTGGTAATGTCTTCGGAAACTAGTGTCAGTGACCAATTTGACCTACAGAAGCTGCGGCACTTTGAAAGGCATATTACCTTTTTCAACATTTTCTACACTGTTTCCTCTCCATTTTCATACCAAATTGCTCGTCCGCCACATGCACGTAATCCTGGGCAGTGGAGCCACCCCCATGGCTTCCAGCACCTCATAACGGCTCGTGCATGAAACTTGTGACTTGCAAGTCCGTCTGTTGTAGCACCAATATAATAAAGGTCCATCAGCTTAATCTGTCCTTGAAGGTGCATCACTTCACACTTTTCTTATATCATTCCTGTTTTATTTCTTGTTTTGGACTGATTATGGAATGCTCATAAATCTTTTAAAAAGAAACGACTTGCTCAAAAGTAAAAATAAGTTGAAAAGTTACTAATAGCAAGGCATATTAAGCAATACACTGGAAATCACAAAAAGACATTCATACCACTCCAGTAACACGTATACTATTTAGCACATACGGAAAAAGCAATGAGTACATAGTCTGTATAGGAGTATATTCGTGGCTAACACAGTCAAGTCAAGACTCTTTCTCAGCGACTCATAACATGGACTCCAGCATATCATCAAAACATGAGTACCATATTATCGAAAATAATCATAATTATGTGTCATAATTAGTATGTACTAAGCTGCTTCTGTGGACGTTAGAGACTGTTGTTCCAGAGATAAAAGTCATAATTTCTCACTCATTCTCCCTGTATTCCCAAACATTCACCTTCTGGAAGATAAAGAATATTGTAACTTCTCAGCCCCGCTCAAGAAAAATAGGCCTAGCTCTCATCAACCGGCTGATTATAAACTACTAGTATACATCTTATCATATCATAACAAAGACATTTTTAACTCTTTTTTTTTTAATATATGCCTTAAACTCTATATAGCTTATCACTGTCAAGAACAGTTTCATAACGCTTTATTTTACAAAATGAGCAATCTGTTTCTTAGCCATGTCTGCATCATGGCCTACCTAGAGACTGCAGTAGATATCACGCTGAATAAGTGTATAATCCTATTTATCGATTTACAGTAAAATGCATATTGCTTAGCCCTATTCGGTCACAGGAGTGTTCATTCTTGGTGTCACTTAACAGAACAATTCACAATTGGTGTAATTCTCGGCACAGTTTCTATGTGCCTTTTGATAAATGTAGAATTCGGGTTCATAAGAGGTCATTATCCGTTTCGTCATTATATTGAATATATATTTAATCTGTTTATACACAGTGGAGACATGGAACCATCTATGGTGAGTGACTGATTATGCTACTACTAATAGCAGAACATTCACTTTTTTGTTAAATCCAGTGAAATACCGGCCTTTTTTCCAATAAATCAAAATTCATTATCACGAACCTTGTTATGACACCCGTCTCGAAAGACAAAGGTACTACAATTTGTAGAACAAAAAACTTGATTTCACGCTTGTGTGAAATGGTCATTCAACGAAAATACTGTGGATGGCCTAGTCAGCACTAATCACTAGGATTTGAGGACACAGACGGCTTAGTAAGAGCTCAAATTCTTGTGGAAGGCAGCGGGGAAGGGGTTGTCGAGTGCCCAGAGCACAACACCCCAAAGCACAAGTCGGGCATGGATGTATACGGTGGTCGAACACAGGCGAAGAGGGGTAGTCTCAAGTTGCTCAGAACTCAAGACGATAGGCGTTGCAGCTCGTCTCATGATCTTGCAAGTTGATAGTACAACGTGAAGCTGATGGGGCGAGGTCAATTTTGTTGGCGATGAGTGCGTCTTCATTGGCAGCCACCCAGTAGCCCAGAGCGTCAGTGTCATAGGTGGGAATGATCGTTACCTCTGAAAATAACATACAAACAATTTGACAATACAGTTTTCACTGGCATCAAATAATACAATAAATTATCCATATTCCTATGGAAATGATTTTCAGAAATATGGATGTAGAAATTAAGAATCCAAAATAAAAGCTGTAATTCAAAGAGGGCTGTATCTTGAGTTCAGCAATCATTCCTAAAGTGACTCATTATTTTTACCTTGTTGCAGAACTGGGACAATGCTAAAATTAAGAAATTTCTTGAATGAACTATGCAAAACTTACCCAATTCTTTATCTTCCCATTCCATCTTGGCCTGGAGGAGGGCATCAAGCACCTCCCTGCCAGGGTCGATGCCTGAGAAGACGTAGTATCGCGCTCTCACTCTCCTGAAGAAATCAACATTGGAGTAATTGGGGTTAGCAGCATGAGGCACATACGCCAAGTCCAGATAAACTGGTGCAACTGTTCTCTTCGACTTCCTGCTTGTTTTGCGCTCTCTGCGTGGGGTGTGTGTACTTGGGTTATCTGAGGGCTGAAGTGGTGCTGGTGCAGGCACTGGTGATGGCAGGCCCAGAGGCTTACCCCACTTCTGCAAGGTATCTTTAGCATCTCGTGCTACATCACTTTCTTTTGATGCAGATGATGTGGTAGTTACAGTTGTAGAAGTGGTTGATCCCTCTTCTTTGCTTATCTTGGAAGTTTTCCATGCCTGGTTTCTGTTAAGTTTATCCTCACTCTCGGTCATAGATGGCTCCATAGCTCGAGATGGTAGATTTCCATTATCATAGTCTCCAGCTTGCTCACCATACATGAACTGATCCATGTGGGCTCCAGAAGGAGGATGGTACTCATACACAGGCTCATCATCATATTCTTCTTGGTACTGCAGACCTGTAGCACCGTAATGTGTTGTATATGCTGCAGATGGGTGCTGACTAGTAGAAACTTTACTAACTGCATCTCTTGCCTCAGACCGTGTTTCTTTGAGTGATGACATAAAAGCTTCCCTACTACTTGCATCACTGCTAGCAGATAGAGGTCGTTCTTCTTTGTCAGATACATCATCACCCATCATTCGTCGAGTGACTGTGGTGACAGTGCTAGCCATCACACCCTCAGAGGCATCAGTATCACTGTCAGTTGTTACAGTACGAGTAGTACGTGTAATAACAGTTGGCTCACCACTGAGAGATTCGTCACTTGTCCAAGGACCAGAGAGTGAGTGTGAAGTGGTGTAGGTCATTGATGACCCAGGTACTCCACTGGAATGTTTCCTGCGGGTAATTGGAGATGGTGATGAGGAACCTGAGATTTTACGCATAATGTCTTCTGAAATTTGCTGATCACCAAGAACTTCAACAACTTCTCCACCAGGCATTTCCTCTGTCTGAACTTCTTCCCCATCTTCATAGTATTTTGTGATCACTGTTGTGACTTTCCTTACTACTACACGTCCAGTCCTTGGGCTACCTGGAGCACCCTCTGTGCTGCTTGTTGAAGACTTTCTGATGGAACTAATTCTCTGTCCTTCATGCATTGTGCTCTCTTCACTTGTTGAGACAGATTCTCTTGAACTTCTAATATCCTCATGGGTAGTCTCAGAGCTGGATTTTGAAATGTCAGAACTGAATTTACTACTAGATGAAGTTGTTTTCACAGATTCTTCTGAACTGAATGTCTTCTTACTTTCACTCGTTTCTGATGTAGATTTTGTTGATTCAGATTTCATTTCAAAACTATCTGAAGACTCCAGAGAACTGATTGACGACTCCTTTAGTGTACTGATGATTCTGCTCTCTGAAGGTAATTCACCCATTCCCAGACCTGATGGTTCCTTTCCTTCAGTGGTTCTTAATACAGATGATCCAGACTTATCGCCAGTGGGTCTCTGAACTGTTTCTGTTGTCTCCGTCTTTTCATCACCACTTGTAATAGTTGTTTTTCTCACAACTGTATGTGATGCAGGTGCAGAATCTGAAGTTTCCTGAATAGTTTCTACTGTCTCTGTAGGTTCACTTCCAGTGACAATGGTTCGTTTAATAAATGTCTTTGTTACAGTCCCAGAATCTGCTCCTACTGTTTCATCAGTTTCAGTGGGTTCATCTCCACCTATAATAGTTCGCCTAATGGTTGTTCGTGTTACAGCATCAGATTCCAAAGGTTCTTCTACAGTCTCTACAGTTTCTGTTGGTTCCCCTCCACTGATAATTGTTCGTTTTATTATTTTTCGTGTTGATACTGTATCATACTGTGGTGATTCTTCAACAGTTTCCGTCGGTTCACCACTGCCAACAATTGTTCTCCTTATGACTGTTCTCTTGGTAACAGTGCCTGATTCTGACGGTTCTTCCACAGTCTCAACTGTCTCAGAGGGTTCACTTCCACTGATGATGGTTCGCTTTACAGTGGTTCTGGTAACAGATTCAGATTCTGAAGGTTCTTCTACAGTCTCTACAGTTTCACCTGGTTCCCCACCGCTGACGATGGTTCTCCTGATAATAGTTCTCTTAGTAATAGTACCTGATTCTGACGGTTCTTCCACAGTCTCAACTGTCTCAGAGGGTTCACTTCCACTGATGATGGTTCGCTTTACAGTGGTTCTAGTGACAGATTCAGATTCTGAAGGTTCTTCTACAGTCTCTACAGTTTCACCTGGTTCCCCACCGCTGACGATGGTTCTCCTGATAATAGTTCTCTTAGTAATAGTACCTGATTCTGACGGTTCTTCCACAGTCTCAACTGTCTCAGAGGGTTCACTTCCACTGATGATGGTTCGCTTTACAGTGGTTCTAGTGACAGATTCAGATTCTGAAGGTTCTTCTACAGTCTCTACAGTTTCACCTGGTTCCCCACCGCTGACGATGGTTCTCCTGATAATAGTTCTCTTAGTAATAGTACCTGATTCTGACGGTTCTTCCACAGTCTCAACTGTCTCAGAGGGTTCACTTCCACTGATGATGGTTCGCTTTACAGTGGTTCTAGTGACAGATTCAGATTCTGAAGGTTCTTCTACAGTCTCTACAGTTTCACCTGGTTCCCCACCGCTGACGATGGTTCTCCTGATAATAGTTCTCTTAGTAACAGTACCTGATTCTGATGGTTCTTCAAAAGTCTCCACTGTTTCGGAAGGTTCACTTCCACTAATGATGGTTCGCTTTACAGTGGTTCTAGTGACAGATTCAGATTCTGAAGGTTCTTCTACAGTCTCTACAGTTTCACCTGGTTCCCCACCGCTGACGATGGTTCTCCTGATAATAGTTCTCTTAGTAATAGTACCTGATTCTGACGGTTCTTCCACAGTCTCAACTGTCTCAGAGGGTTCACTTCCACTGATGATGGTTCGCTTTACAGTGGTTCTAGTGACAGATTCAGATTCTGAAGGTTCTTCTACAGTCTCTACAGTTTCACCTGGTTCCCCACCGCTGACGATGGTTCTCCTGATAATAGTTCTCTTAGTAATAGTACCTGATTCTGACGGTTCTTCCACAGTCTCAACTGTCTCAGAGGGTTCACTTCCACTGATGATGGTTCGCTTTACAGTGGTTCTAGTGACAGATTCAGATTCTGAAGGTTCTTCTACAGTCTCTACAGTTTCACCTGGTTCCCCACCGCTGACGATGGTTCTCCTGATAATAGTTCTCTTAGTAATAGTACCTGATTCTGACGGTTCTTCCACAGTCTCAACTGTCTCAGAGGGTTCACTTCCACTGATGATGGTTCGCTTTACAGTGGTTCTAGTGACAGATTCAGATTCTGAAGGTTCTTCTACAGTCTCTACAGTTTCAACTGGTTCGCCACCGCTGACAATGGTTCTCCTTATGACTGTTCTCTTAGTAACAGTACCTGATTCTGATGGTTCTTCAAAAGTCTCCACTGTTTCGGAAGGTTCACTTCCACTAATGATGGTTCGCTTTACAGTGGTTCTAGTAACAGACTCAGATTCTGAGGGTTCTACAGTCTCTATAGTTTCGACTGGTTCACCACCACTGACAATGGTTCTTCTAATAACTGTCCTTTTTGTAGTGGTCTCAGATGGCTCTTCTACAGTTTCTACTGATTCTGTGGGTTCACCTGCACTAATGATAGTTCGTTTTACAATTCTCCTTGTTACAGTCTTGGAATCAGTTGGTTCATCAAATATCTCTTCTGTTTCACTTGGTTCATCTTTACCAACAATAGTTTTTATGATTTTCTTTGTAGCTACTGTGTCAGAATCTGGTTCTTCAAATGACTCCACTGTCTCTACTGGCTCCCCTTCATGGACAATTACTCGCCTTACAATTCTCCTTGTTATTGTTTCAGAATCAGTAGGCTCTTCGTAAGTCTCATATTCAGTGGGCTCACCTTCTGGAACAACAGTTCTAACAGTTGTTTTTGTCATGGAATCTGAAGCCTCATCAATAGTTTCTACTGTTTCTGTAGGTTCACCACTGACAATCGTTTGCCCTATTATCGTCTTTGTGGAAACGGTTTCAGAAACTGATGGCTGATCAGAAGTTCTCACCGTTTTTACAGGTTCATCACTAACTATGCGTTGCATAATAATTGCTTCAGTTTTAGGCTTTTCAGTTGTGAAGTACTTTTGTGATATTTCCTTTTGGTCTGTAGTCTCTTCAGTGTGTTCCTTCATAAAGTGACTGGTGCTACTAAATTCCTGACTATCCTTAATATGAGTCGCCTGTGAAGATACTACAGAGGATAATGTTTCCTTAACAGAACTAGACTTATCAGTAATGGCAGTGACAGACTTGTACTCTTCGGTTGACACTTGCTCGGAGGTTGAAGTTTGTGTCTTGCTTGAAGTGATCTCTTCAACTTCAGCCATGAGCTTTTCTGCAATAATAGCTGAAGTTGTTTCGATATGGTCTTTACTTTCTTTAACCTCTTTCACAATACCCTCAACACCACTGGAGGAGGAGAAGGAAGAGGAGGGCGGAGGAGGTGGCGAAGACTTATCAGATGATGGTCTTCTGTCATCTCCTTTGACTGGCTTAGATACAGGAAGATCAGATAGTTTTTTGTCATCAGCAACAGTAAATGCAAGTTTAGATGCTGACGTTGTAGTGGTAGAGGTTGATATAGATGAGTCATGTACTGATGATATGAATGTTCGTGTGAGAGAACTGGTTGTAGAAGATTCTTCTGCTGTTACAGCTGAAGTAAAGGTTGTATCTCTACTCTTGATTTCATCTTTGGTAACTGATTCAGCTTTCCCAAAGACTGAAGATTCACTTTCTTGGAGGGAAGATGTGCTTGACGAAACAGGGAAATCAGGTTTACCTATGGATTTTACTGGTGAAGGAGGTGGAGAAGCAGGTTCCTTGAAATCTTGGAAGGAAGTCTTACTTGTGGTCACAGCTGTTTTGATTCCCTGAACCACTTCACTGACTCCAAACGCCTCTGTAAATGATTTCACAGTCTCACTGATTTCTTCTTTAAATATGCCTTCAGATATGTCACTTTCAGATGATCCTGTTGTTACTTTAGGTTGTTCCCCAAGATATGATGGATCCTTTGGCAGGTCCTTTGCATCTACAGATGTTACATCACTCTTTGAGCTTGCAGAAGCATCACTCTTTGGAGATACCATTATGGCTTCTTGAGTTTCTGAGTATGTTGCTTCTCCCTTAAAACTAACAGATGTTTCATCTTCCATGCCTGTTTTAGTCTTCAGAGATGCAACATCTGTTAATGTTTCTGACTTTGTGCTTTTGGACACATCTGATTTGTCTACCATAACCTTTGTGCTATCTTTGCTACTGACCTCGGTAGTCGACCTATGGATAGTCGAAAATACTGTAGTGCTATCACTCTTTGTGCTTTCAGAAACAGATTCAGAAACCTTTTGGAGTTTATCTGTAGTTGAAACTTCACTTATGAGCATTGTTTTTGCTGAAGCTTGAGTTTCTTGTAGACCTACATGCTTCTCTACAACAGATGTCTGTTCAATTTTTACATCACTTGTAATAGATGGCAAGGTCTGGCTTTCCAGACTAGATAATTTGTCCCTGTCATCATAAGCAGAATCCTTTCCAGAAGCTTCACTCTTGCCGGAAGTATCACTGCGAGGAGAAAGGGGCTTTCCTTCATCTGCGTCTCTATCTGTGTCAAGGACAGGTTGTAGTCTAAAGGAATCTAATGAGTCTAAACCATCCTTTGCTGCGATATCACTTACGGTGGTGTCACTCTTTGGAGACATAGACCGACCACTATCCATCACAACCATGCTGGTCTCCATCATTGACTTTTCAGTCACAGGATGTTTTTGTTCTCGTCGCACAATGTTGTTCAATTTTTACATCACTTGTAATAGATGGCAAGGTCTGGCTTTCCAGACTAGATAATTTGTCCCTGTCATCATAAGCAGAATCCTTTCCAGAAGCTTCACTCTTGCCGGAAGTATCACTGCGAGGAGAAAGGGGCTTTCCTTCATCTGCGTCTCTATCTGTGTCAAGGACAGGTTGTAGTCTAAAGGAATCTAATGAGTCTAAACCATCCTTTGCTGCGATATCACTTACGGTGGTGTCACTCTTTGGAGACATAGACCGACCACTATCCATCACAACCATGCTGGTCTCCATCATTGACTTTTCAGTCACAGGATGTTTTTGTTCTCGTCGCACAATGTCTGATATGGATGAGATATCTGAACGTGGAGAAGCAGGAGGCTGATCTTCATCACGACTCTCAAACTGACCACTTAATTCAGCTTCATACCCATCACTGCGTGGTGACATTGACGGAAGATCACTACGAGGAGACTCAGTGTAAGGTGTAGACTTTTGATCATCCAGCTGTGTCTTACTGCGTGAGACACTTGGAAGAGTTTCATCTGTGGACTTCTGAAGGTCATCTCCCGCAAGGGTGCCATACATTGAAGCTGACATCATGTCTCCAGGCTTGTCAGTTTTGGTTAAGGCCACAGTAGATTCTTGTAATGTATATTTAGTGTCCTCATCAAGCACACCATGTGTAATAAAGTCTTCTCCATACATGGATGAAGACATGAGATCTTCACTGGGCTCATACATAGAGGAAGTCATAATGTCAAAACCTCCATGCATAGATGTAGCCATTGCATCAGAAATATCCTCTGTAAATGTAGCAGTTGTTTCTTCATAAATTGAGGAAGTCATAACATCCGACTTTTCTCTTTGAACTGCAGTTGTAGTAAAGCTGGATGTAACAGGGAAAGGTGCACCGACCTCACGTGAGGTTGGTGACAGTGGTGTCGATCCTGGAGTGGTGTCTGGAGAAACAGTTACAATTTCTGCACGTTCTGCTTTCAGCATAGCATATACTGGCTCTTCACTTACACCTGAATCTAAATAAGGCTGTGTCACTTTGACACTTTCTGAAGGCATTTCTGCTGATTGAACTTTTTCTTTTATAGTGAGCATGCCAGATTTATCAATGTCACTCTTAAGACTGCCATCGCTCTTAGGAGCAAGTGGCACTTTGTCAGTTGACTTCTTGGAAACATCCTTAGAGCTAACATCACTCTTTGCACTAAGTGAAGTGTCACTCTTAGGGGATATAGGTGCTCCATCCATGGGTTTATGTAATGCATCTTCGGGAATTACATCACTTTTTAGGCTTAGTGAGATGTCACTTTTTGGAGAAACTGGAATTTCACCTTTCTTTGGCTCGTCCTTAAAGCTCCTATCGCTCTTAAGACTTTCTGATTTATCACTAGAGAGTAATTTCTGTTCAGTAGATACCTTTGAAACTTCAACGGTCAATGGTTCTAATTTCCCAGCCATTGAACTTGTATCACTTTTTGCACTGACAGAAATATCACTCTTTGATGAAAGTGGCATATCTTCTGTGATACTCTTTGTAATGCTCTCTTTACCAGCTTTAGAACTAGTGTCACTCTTCTCACTCACAGATATGTCACTCTTTGGAGATTCTGGTGCAGCATCAAGAGGCTTTTTAGTAGTATCAATCATCAAAAGACCCACTTCCTCCTTTGCACTTGAAGAGCTGAAATCACTCTTAGCACTGATGGAAACATCGCTCTTTGGTGACACTGGAGCTTCATCCTTTGACTTGATTATGTCTTCTTTCTTAGAGCTTATGTCACTCTTAACACTTGCAGTTTCATCAAATGATTTCTTCATGACATCAATATCCAGTGCATCTTCCTTTCTAGATACATCACTCTTTGTGCTAACAGAGATGTCACTTTTTGGAGAATGTAAGGCTTCCTCAGCTGTTTTCTTAGATACATCAATATCTAAAGCTTCTTTCTTGGAACTAAAATCAGTACATACAGTGTCTTCCTTCTTAGAACTAACATCACTCTTAGCACTAACAGAGATGTCACTTTTAGGAGAAATAGGCGCTTCTTCTGTTGGCTTCTTTGATACATCAATACCAAATATCTCTTCCTTCTTAGAACTAACATCACTCTTAGCACTAACAGAGATGTCACTTTTAGGAGAAATAGGTGCTTCTTCTGTTGGTTTCTTTGATACGTCAGTACCAAATATGTCTTCCTTCTTAGAACTAACATCACTCTTAGCACTAACACTGATGTCACTCTTGGGAGAAATAGGTGCTTCTTCTGTAGGTTTCTTTGATACGTCAATACCAAATATGTCTTCCTTTTTAGAACTAACATCACTCTTAGCACTAACAGAGATGTCACTCTTAGGAGAAATAGGTGCTTCTTCTGTTGGTTTCTTTGATACGTCAATACCAAATATGTCTTCCTTCTTAGAACTAACATCACTCTTAGCACTAACAGAGATGTCACTCTTAGGAGAAATAGGTGCTTCTTCTGTTGGTTTCTTTGATACGTCAATACCAAATATGTCTTCCTTCTTTGAACTAACACTGATGTCACTCTTGGGAGAAATAGGTGCCTCTTCTGTTGGTTTCTTTGATACTTCAATACCAAATATGTCTTCCTTCTTAGAACTTACATCACTCTTAGCACTAACACTGATGTCACTCTTAGGAGAAATAGGAGCTTCTTCTGTTGGTTTCTTTGATACGTCAATACCAAATATATCTTCCTTCTTAGAACTTACATCACTCTTAGCACTAACACTGATGTCACTCTTGGGAGAAATAGGTGCTTCTTCTGTTGGTTTCTTTGATACGTCAATACCAAATATGTCTTCCTTTTTAGAACTAACATCACTCTTAGCACTAACAGAGATGTCACTCTTGGGAGAAATAGGTGCTTCTTCTGATGGTTTCTTTGATACGTCAATACCAAATATATCTTCCTTCTTAGAACTAACATCACTCTTAGCACTAACACTGATGTCACTCTTAGGAGAAATAGGAGCTTCTTCTGTTGGTTTCTTTGATACGTCAATACCAAATATGTCTTCCTTCTTAGAACTAACATCACTCTTAGCACTAACAGAGATGTCACTCTTGGGAGAAATAGGTGCTTCTTCTGTTGGTTTCTTTGATACGTCAATACCAAATATGTCTTCCTTCTTAGAACTAACATCACTCTTAGCACTGACACTGATGTCACTCTTAGGAGAAATAGGTGCTTCTTCTGTTGGTTTCTTTGATACGTCAATACCAAATATGTCTTCCTTCTTAGAGCTAACATCACTCTTAGCACTAACACTGATGTCACTCTTAGGAGAAATAGGTGCTTCTTCTGTTGGTTTCTTTGATACGTCAATACCAAATATGTCTTCCTTTTTAGAACTAACATCACTCTTGGCACTAACACTGATGTCACTCTTAGGAGAAATAGGTGCCTCTTCTGTTGGTTTCTTTGATACATCAATACTAAATATGTCTTCCTTCTTAGAACTAACATCACTCTTAGCACTAACAGAGATGTCACTCTTAGGAGAAATAGGTGCTTCTTCTGTTGGTTTCTTTGATACGTCAATACCAAATATGTCTTCCTTCTTAGAACTAACATCACTCTTAGCACTAACACTGATGTCACTCTTAGGAGAAATAGGTGCTTCTTCTGTTGGTTTCTTTGATACGTCAATACCAAATATGTCTTCCTTTTTAGAACTAACATCACTCTTAGCACTAACAGAGACGTCACTCTTGGGAGAAATAGGTGCTTCTTCTGTTGGTTTCTTTGATACGTCAATACCAAATATGTCTTCCTTCTTAGAACTAACATCACTCTTACCACTAACAGAGATGTCACTCTTAGGAGAAATAGGTGCTTCTTCTGTTGGTTTCTTTGATACGTCAATACCAAATATGTCTTCCTTCTTAGAACTAACATCACTCTTACCACTAACAGAGATGTCACTCTTAGGAGAAATAGGTGCTTCTTCTGTTGGTTTCTTTGATACGTCAATACCAAATATGTCTTCCTTCTTAGAACTAACATCACTCTTAGCACTAACAGAGATGTCACTCTTAGGAGAAATAGGTGCTTCTTCTGTTGGTTTCTTTGATACGTCAATACCAAATATGTCTTCCTTCTTAGAACTTACATCACTCTTGGCACTAACACTGATGTCACTCTTAGGAGAAATAGGTGCTTCATCTGTTGGTTTCTTTGATACGTCAATACCAAATATGTCTTCCTTCTTAGAACTTACATCACTCTTAGCACTAACAGAGATGTCACTCTTAGGAGAAATAGGTGCTTCTTCTGTTGGTTTCTTTGATACGTCAATACCAAATATGTCTTCCTTCTTAGAACTTACATCACTCTTAGCACTAACAGAGATGTCACTCTTGGGAGAAATAGGTGCTTCTTCTGTAGGTTTCTTTGATACGTCAATTCCAAATATGTCTTCCTTCTTAGAACTAACATCACTCTTAGCACTAACAGAGATGTCACTCTTAGGAGAAATAGGTGCTTCTTCTGTAGGTTTCTTTGATACGTCAATACCAAATATGTCTTCCTTCTTAGAACTAACATCACTCTTAGCACTAACAGAGATGTCACTCTTAGGAGAAATAGGAGCTTCTTCTGTTGGTTTCTTTGATGCGTCAGTACCAAATATATCTTCCTTCTTAGAACTAACATCACTCTTAGCACTAACAGAGATGTCACTCTTGGGAGAAATAGGTGCTTCTTCTGTAGGTTTCTTTGATACGTCAATACCAAATATGTCTTCCTTCTTAGAACTAACACTGATGTCACTCTTGGGAGATATAGGTGCCTCTTCTGTTGGTTTCTTTGGTACGTCAATACCAAATATGTCTTCCTTCTTAGAACTAACATCACTCTTAGCACTAACACTGATGTCACTCTTAGGAGAAATAGGTGCTTCTTCTGTTGGTTTCTTTGATACGTCAATACCAAATATGTCTTCCTTTTTAGAACTAACATCACTCTTAGGAGAAATAGGTGCTTCTTCTGTTGGTTTCTTTGATACGTCAATACCAAATATGTCTTCCTTCTTAGAACTAACATCACTCTTAGCACTAACAGAGATGTCACTCTTGGGAGAAATAGGTGCTTCTTCTGTTGGTTTCTTTGATACGTCAATACCAAATATGTCTTCCTTTTTAGAACTAACATCACTCTTAGGAGAAATAGGTGCTTCTTCTGTTGGTTTCTTTGATACGTCAATACCAAATATGTCTTCCTTTTTAGAACTAACATCACTCTTAGGAGAAATAGGTGCTTCTTCTGTTGGTTTCTTTGATACGTCAATACCAAATATGTCTTCCTTCTTAGAACTAACATCACTCTTAGCACTAACAGAGATGTCACTCTTGGGAGAAATAGGTGCTTCTTCTGTTGGTTTCTTTGATACGTCAATACCAAATATGTCTTCCTTTTTAGAACTAACATCACTCTTAGCACTAACAGAGATGTCACTCTTAGGAGAAATAGGAGCTTCTTCTGTTGGTTTCTTTGATACGTCAATACCAAATATGTCTTCCTTTTTAGAACTAACATCACTCTTAGCACTAACAGAGATGTCACTCTTGGGAGAAATTGGTGCTTCTTCTGTTGGTTTCTTTGATACGTCAATACCAAATATGTCTTCCTTCTTAGAACTAACATCACTCTTAGCACTGACACTGATGTCACTCTTAGGAGAAATAGGTGCTTCTTCTGTTGGTTTCTTTGATACGTCAATACCAAATATGTCTTCCTTTTTAGAACTAACATCACTCTTGGGAGAAATAGGTGCTTCTTCTGTTGGTTTCTTTGGTACGTCAATACCAAATATGTCCTTCTTAGAACTAACATCACTCTTAGCACTAACAGAGATGTCACTCTTAGGAGAAATAGGTGCTTCTTCTGTTGGTTTCTTTGATACGTCAATACCAAATATGTCCTCCTTCTTAGAACTAACATCACTCTTAGCACTAACAGAGATGTCACTCTTAGGAGAAATAGGTGCTTCTTCTGTTGGTTTCTTTGATACGTCAATACTAAATATGTCTTCCTTCTTAGAACTAACATCACTCTTAGCACTGACACTGATGTCACTCTTAGGAGAAATAGGTGCTTCTTCTGATGGTTTCTTTGATACGTCAATACCAAATATGTCTTCCTTTTTAGAACTAACATCACTCTTAGGAGAAATAGGTGCTTCTTCTGTTGGTTTCTTTGATACGTCAATACCAAATATGTCTTCCTTTTTAGAACTAACATCACTCTTAGCACTAACAGAGATGTCACTCTTGGGAGAAATTGGTGCTTCTTCTGTTGGTTTCTTTGATACGTCAATACCAAATATGTCTTCCTTTTTAGAACTAACATCACTCTTAGCACTAACAGAGATGTCACTCTTGGGAGAAATTGGTGCTTCTTCTGTTGGTTTCTTTGATACGTCAATACCAAATATGTCTTCCTTCTTAGAACTTACATCACTCTTAGCACTGACAGAGATGTCACTCTTGGGAGAAGTAGGTGCTTCTTCTGTTGGTTTCTTTGATACGTCAATACCAAATATGTCTTCCTTCTTAGAACTAACATCACTCTTAGCACTAATAGAGATGTCACTCTTAGGAGAAATAGGTGCTTCTTCTGTTGGTTTCTTTGATACGTCAATACCAAATATGTCTTCCTTCTTAGAACTAACATCACTCTTAGCCACTAACAGAGATGTCACTCTTAGGAGAAATAGGTGCTTCTTCTGTTGGTTTCTTTGATACGTCAATACCAAATATGTCTTCCTTCTTAGAACTAACATCACTCTTAGCACTAATAGAGATGTCACTCTTAGGAGAAATAGGAGCTTCTTCTGTTGGTTTCTTTGATACGTCAATACCAAATATGTCTTCCTTTTTAGAACTAACATCACTCTTAGCACTAACAGAGATGTCACTCTTAGGAGAAATAGGTGCTTCTTCTGTTGGTTTCTTTGATACGTCAATACCAAATATGTCTTCCTTTTTAGAACTAACATCACTCTTAGCACTAACACTGATGTCACTCTTGGGAGAAATAGGTGCTTCTTCTGTTGGTTTCTTTGATACGTCAGTACCAAATATGTCTCCCTTCTTAGAACTAACACTGATGTCACTCTTAGGAGAAATAGGAGCTTCTTCTGTTGGTTTCTTTGATACGTCAATGCCAAATATGTCTTCCTTTTTAGAACTAACATCACTCTTAGCACTAAGAGAGATGTCACTCTTAGGAGAAATAGGCGCTTCTTCTGTTGGCTTCTTTGATACATCAATACCAAATATCTCTTCCTTTTTAGAACTAACATCACTCTTAGCACTAACACTGATGTCACTCTTGGGAGAAATAGGTGCTTCTTCTGTTGGTTTCTTTGATACATCAGTACCAAATATGTCTTCCTTCTTAGAACTAACATCACTCTTAGCACTAACAGAGATGTCACTCTTGGGAGAAATAAGTGCTTCTTCTGTTGGTTTCTTTGATACGTCAATACCAAATATGTCTTCCTTCTTAGAACTAACAGAGATGTCACTCTTGGGAGATATAGGTGCCTCTTCTGTTGGTTTCTTTGATACGTCAATACCAAATATGTCTTCCTTTTTAGAACTTACATCACTCTTAGCACTAACACTGATGTCACTCTTAGGAGAAATAGGTGCTTCTTCTGTTGGTTTCTTTGATACGTCGATGCCAAATATGTCTTCCTTTTTAGAACTAACATCACTCTTAGCACTGACAGAGATGTCACTCTTGGGAGAAATAGGTGCTTCTTCTGTTGGTTTCTTTGATACGTCAATACCAAATATGTCTTCCTTTTTAGAACTAACATCACTCTTAGCACTGACAGAGATGTCACTCTTGGGAGAAATAGGTGCTTCTTCTGTTGGTTTCTTTGATACGTCAATACCAAATATGTCTTCCTTTTTAGAACTAACATCACTCTTAGCACTGACAGAGATGTCACTCTTGGGAGAAATAGGTGCTTCTTCTGTTGGTTTCTTTGATACGTCAATACCAAATATGTCTTCCTTTTTAGAACTAACATCACTCTTAGCACTGACAGAGATGTCACTCTTAGGAGAAATAGGTGCTTCTTCTGTTGGTTTCTTTGATACGTCAATACCAAATATGTCTTCCTTCTTAGAACTAACATCACTCTTATCACTAACAGAGATGTCACTCTTAGGAGAAATAGGTGCTTCTTCTGTTGGTTTCTTTGATACATCAATACCAAATATGTCTTCCTTCTTAGAACTAACATCACTCTTAGCACTAACACTGATGTCACTCTTAGGAGAAATAGGTGCTTCTTCTGTTGGTTTCTTTGATACGTCAATACCAAATATGTCTTCCTTCCTAGAACTAACATCACTCTTAGCACTAACACTGATGTCACTCTTAGGAGAAATAGGTGCTTCTTCTGTTGGTTTCTTTGATACGTCAATACCAAATATGTCTTCCTTCTTAGAACTAACATCACTCTTAGCACTAACACTGATGTCACTCTTAGGAGAAATAGGAGCTTCATCTGTTGGTTTCTTTGATACGTCAACACCAAATATGTCTTCCTTCTTAGAACTAACATCACTCTTAGCACTAACACTGATGTCACTCTTAGGAGAAATAGGTGCTTCTTCTGTTGGTTTCTTTGATACGTCAATACCAAGTATGTCTTCCTTCTTAGAACTAACATCACTCTTAGCACTAACAGAGATGTCACTCTTAGGAGAAATAGGTGCTTCTTCTGTTGGTTTCTTTGATACATCAATACCAAATATGTCTTCCTTCTTAGAACTAACATCACTCTTTGCACTAACACTGATGTCACTCTTAGGAGAAATAGGTGCCTCTTCTGTTGGTTTCGTTGATACGTCGATGCCATATACGGCTGTTGGTTTCTTTGATACATCAATACCAAATAAGTCTTCTTTTCTAGAACTAACATCACTCTTAGCACTAACAGAGATGTCACTCTTGGGAGAAATAGGTGCTTCTTCTGTTGGTTTCTTTGATACGTCAATATCTAAAATATCTTCTTTTTTAGAACTAACATCACTTTTAGCACTAACACTGATGTCACTCGTGGGAGAAAGAGGTGCTTCTTCTTTTGGTTTCTTAGACACATCGGTGCCAAATATGTCTTCCTTTTTAGAACTAACATCACTCTTAGCACTAACAGAGATATCACTTTTAGGAGAAATAGGTGCTTCTTCGGTTGCTTCTTTAGATACATCAATTTCTAAAACGTCTTCTTTCTTAGAACTCACATCACTTTTAGCACTAACAGGGGAAATTGAAGGTTGAACAGTAGGTTTGCTCGTCACATCTATTTTCAGGATATCCTCTTTTTTAGAGGTTAAGTCACTTTTAACTTCTCTGGCACTAATATCACTAGCTGCACTGACTGAAATATCACTTGTAGGAGAAATAGGAACTTTTTCAGTGGCTTTTTCTGCCGGCGCAGTTGCTGTTTCTGTAGCTCGGATATCTTTTGTAATACTTTTTCTCATTTCAATTACTTTTTCAATATCCATTGCTATTTCATCCTTGACACTAACTGAAATGTCACTCCTAGGTGATTCAGGGGCTTCATCTTTGCCGTCCAATTCGGCGGTGGTTGATTCTTCAGGAACTTTAGCACTAGTATCGCTCTTTGCACTGACTGAGATGTCGCTCTTTGGCGACAGAGACGCTAGGGACTCATCAGTTGGCTTTTTGGTGACATCAATTGAAAGTTTTAGACCTGTAATTTCCTTGTCACTTATGTCACTCTTTACACTTGAAGTGTCACTTATCTTTGTTACCCTTTCCATATATTCTTCTTTGAAGGGGTCACTCTTTGTGCTGATCGATACGTCACTTGTTGGAGATACAGGAGCTTTTTCCTCTTCTGAAATATCTTTTGGAATGTCTTTTCCTAAAACATCTTTAGAAAGAATATCGCTCTTGGCACTAACAGATACATCACTTGTAGGAGATGTAGGCGCTAAAATATCTGACTTTTCAGTTGTATCTGGTTCAGACTTTAGGCCCTTCTCACTGACTTCACTTACTGAAGATATTGAAACCTTGTCGCTAATAATCTGTTCTTCAATTTGTAAAACACCATCACTAGGGGGAGGCTTGCCACTGATATCACTGCTAATGCTACTCTCAACACTTTCTGTTGGGGAGAGGTCTCGTTTCACACCTCGCATTCTCTCCTCTTCTTCACTTGCCACTGTGGTGAATTCAGTTATAGTTTTCTCCGTCGCCTTTGCAATTTCCCCTTTAGCAATAATCACATCTTCAGTAACTGTTTCAGTTGTTACCTCCTCTTTAGCAACCTTAACTTCCTTTGTGACATCAAATATTTCTTCCTTCTTTAAGACTTGCTCTGTAATATCTTCGACTACTGTATCTTTCTTCAGGATATCTTTTGACACTTTCTCATCCAAAGCAGTGTCTTTTTTCGGCATTTCTTCAGTTGCTTCCTTTAATGCAGGAATGTCTTCCTTTGAGGGCTTCTCTTCCTTAATCACTGGTTTCCCCTTTTCTTCTTTCATGATTTTTTCTTCTTCCATAATCATTTTCTCTGAAATGTCCTCTACAATGTCTTCCTTCTCAATCTTTCCATCCTTCTTAAGAATTTCTTTCGTGACTTCTTCCGTTATCAACTTCTCTTCTTCTGTTTTTTCCTTTGAAATTCCCTCCTTTGCCACCATCTCAGCTGTTACGGTTATTGCTTTTGACACTTCTTCTTTGGTAACTATTTCTTCTATACTCTCCGTCTTTGATACTTCTTCCTTTATGGTTGTTGCTTTCACAATCTCTTGAATTTCCTTTTCTTCTTTCCTCAGTATTTCCTGTTTGGCTATTTCCTCTTTCGTTAGGTCTTCCACAATTTCCGTATCAGATATTGCCTTTTCTTTAGCAAAATCTATTTTTTCTTTCGCCCATAATATGTCTTCCGTTGTAGCTTTTTCTTCGGTAATTTCGATCTTTGAGATTTTTTCCTCCTCAGTAACCTCCTTTGAAATACTCTCCTTTTCAACAATTTCCTTTATGGATATTTCTTCCTTTGAAATCTTTTCTTCCTCGACGACTTCCTTCTCCGAGAGCTTCGTCTCCTCTTCCACAGTTTTTGAGACGGTTTCTTTCACAGAAATTTCCTCCTTGGTAATTCTTCTTCTACGGTTTTGTAATCGCGTATTTCGATCTTGAGATTTTTTCCTCCTCAGTAACCTCCTTAGAAATACTCTCCTTTTCAACAATTTCCTTTATGGATATTTCTTCCTTTGAAATCTTTTCTTCCTCGACGACTTCCTTCTCCGAGAGCTTCGTCTCCTCTTCCACAGTTTTTGAGACGGTTTCTTTCACAGAAATTTCCTCCTTGGTAATTTCTTCTTCTACGGTTTCTGTAACTACCTTCTCTTCCTTCTTCAAAATTTCTTTAAAGACTTCTTCAGAAATGATTTCCCCTGCAGCGGCTTTCTGCACAACTTCCTTAGTGATTTTTTCTTCTTCCACTTCTTTCATCAGAATTTCTTCTTTCGTGACAGTTTCTTCTTTAATTTCTTCCTTTGTGATCTTTTCTTCAACTTCTTCCTTTGTGACCTTTTCCACGTCTTTCTTAGGAACTTCTTCTTTTTTGATAACCTCTTCAATCTTTGGGATTTCTGTAATCATTTCTTCAACTTCCTTCTTTGGAAGTTCTTCCGTTGTGATCTTTTCTTCAACTTCTTTCATGATAACTTGTTCAATCTTTGAAACTTCCTTTGTAAACTGTTCTTCAGTTTTTTCCTTTGTGATCTGTTCTTCAACTTCTTTCTTAGGAACTGCATCCTTTGTGATCTTTTCTTCCATTTCTTGCTTTGGAACTTCTTCGTCTGCAACCCTTTCATCAATTGCTTTCTCTGGAACTTCCT